TTTGCTAAGCTTGTTCTAAGTAGGTGCTTTAGACCACTGAGCCATCTCACCAGCCCCAACCACCACGATAGTTTTCTAGGAGGCACTGCATGCCCTGCACGGCATGTGATACTGGGGATCCGACTAGGGTCCTTGTGATTGCCAGGCAGGCATTGAGTTATCTCCCCACCCTCAAGACCAATCTTTATCCATAATATCTCAGTCCAAGTTTCCAACACCCCACAAATATAAAAACAGCCTTCACCTTATGAAATGAAAGCTTGTAAATACGAATTCTCAGGAAACCGTCTCTCTCTTCTTGGAACCTGGAAGACAGATACATGTTCCTGTGCTGGAAGGTGGGACTTTTCTTCCGGCTTATTCCTCCACTGCAGTGCGATGCTTTGGCGTTCTAAGCTTATGGAGGGTCTTAGGCTCTACTGTTCATGGCCATAACAAAGTTCTTTACCTTTTTGTTTCTACCTGAACATTAACATAAAAGCTCCAAAAGTACTTTTATCCAAAAGCATTTATGCCAGTCCCCCCTACACACACACACACACACACACACACACACACACAGCAAAATAATCTCCAAAGCTTCCACACTTTCTGGCTTGTTTTTCGATCCTTTTATCTATCTGACATATAAGGGCTTTCCTTTATTTCTTATGGATTATCTGGATTTAAATAACCTAAACAATTTGCCAAATTCAATTTATCTTCCCTTCGTGTGTGTGTGTGTGTGTGTGTGTGTGTGTGTGTGTGCATGCGCTTGCCACATAAGATCAAATTTCCTACCCAGTTTGACGAAAGTATCATACTTTCCAGTCTTGAGTGATTCTGAGGTAAGCCTGGATTTGTGACTGTGTGTGTGTGTGTGTGTGTGTGTGTGCATGTGCGTGTGTGTGTGTGTAGAGGTGGGTAGAAGATCAGAAATCAAGTAAGATGGTGAACACATTTGTCTCTGATTTCCTTTAAGTCCATCCTGCGCTATTCGTGGGAACATTCAGGATGTAGTTGTATCCACTCACCTTCTTTCCAACCTTCTCCAAAGGACTCAGTTAGTGTACAGAGAAAAATGTCTCAGGATTAGACCGATGAAAAAACCCAGGCTGAGGCCACAGTTAGCCGGTGCTGTGACCCTGGGCCTTTCGGGTAATCACAGACTTGAACATGACTCTAGCTGATTCTGTTCATCGGTGTCCAATTTTTTCCTTCTGGCTGTACTGTCACAAAGCAGGATAGAATGAACCCCAAGCACAGGAGACCACTTAACCTGACTATTTCCCACATTTTATTTTTATTCAGAGTATATAGATATATGTCACTTCGATCAATTTGGACTCTGAGCATCTGGAAAGAACAGGAAGCTTCTGCCAGAGGGCCTACCAAGTCCCGAGTCACAAGGTCTGAATTTCTGGGGTTTTGCAACAATCTCTGAATGGGTTAAGCTGACCTGAAAGTTCGCATGACTTGTGATCTTACACATTCGTCATTCATCCTGCCTTTGTGGTCAGTAGTAGAATTAAAGATTATTGGCCTTGGACCTAAGAGTTTGTTTGCTTTACTAAATCAGCTTTTACTGGGCCACATGTGGTATTCATCCTCTTAAACCTAGAGAATTGAGGGGCCTTTTCTCCTCTCCTGCTCTGCTTTCTGACCTCCTACTCTGTGCATAAGCTTCCTGCAAGCCCTCAGAGCTTAATCAGAAGCAAAGATTCTCCCACAGTATTATTTGCTTTCATGAGATCATGATTTATTATCAAAGCCCAAAGAAGGGGAAGCCACTATTTCTTGAGTTTTAATTAATTAGCCATAATCAGAAATCTTCACATACAGGGGATGGCAAGATAGCTCAATGGTCTGAAGCACCTGCTTAGGCAAGCTTAGGCAAGCACACAGGGACTGTGGTTCGATCCCCAGCGCCACATGCTGCACCAGCCCCACCCCTAGAGTGGGTTGAGCTGGCCACAAAAAGAAAAGAAAAGGAATCTTCACATACAGTTGCATAAACTAATTCACATTCGCATTCCCAATTCAAAGCTCTACTCTTAGGTCCCAGGAAGCCCGGAGCCACCCTGTTCTCTTCCTTTCTCTCTTGAAAGTTTTGTGGGCGGTCACCTGATTTTTATTAAAGGGAAATTTCACTCCTGGTGTTGACAGGAGGCAGCGAGAACCTCAGGCTAGTAGACTGAAGCAAACTGTAATGGAGGCACCACTGTGCAACTCAGCCAACCACCCACCTTCACAATGCTTCTCTTGGGGCTGGCAGGTTGGCTCAGTTGTCTAAAGCACCTTCTTGAGCAAGATCAGTCCATGGCAAGGGACTGTGGTTTGAGCCCCAGCACCACATGCCACACCAGACCTGCCCTTAAGGCAGCCTGAGTCAGCAAAAAAAAAAAAAAAGAAAAAAAAAGAAAAAAAGAATCCTTCTCAATGCTTCTCTCATCTTTCAAAAGAAGAAACAGGTCCAGTGATACCAGGTCTTACCTTATCTTACCTTGGATTTGGGACAACCAACTACTTCACAATACGGTTGACCCTGTCCCTGGCAAATGGAGAATTAATCAGCTGTGTTTGCCTTGTGAATACCAGGGGTAGTAGTCTGGGAAATAGAACAAAGACAGGCACATCCAGGAGAGTAAGAAGTTATTTTTCTGAACAATTTAAAAGAATACATGTTATGATTCAAAGACAAAAGAAAAATGACTAAGGGAAATTATATCTCTTAGAATCATTGGCCATGAGAATTTCTTTGGACATGAAGACGTTACTCTGAGGTCACTTGCATTTCATGACTAAAGGTAACAAAGTCAAGAAACACAAGGAGAGGAGCCAAGTCATTTGTGAGGTCAATTAAAAGGAAGGCAAAACAAATGTCTTCAAAAATGTCTTTCTTGGCAAACAAATTTATTCAAATGTGCAAAACTGAAATCAGATTCTACAGGACAGATTAGTTGCATCATCTTTGACATTTTAGCTGAAGATGAAGCCCTAACACATAAAACTAGAGTTGCAGCCATTGCACCGCCTAACTGCATTCAGAGCTCTGCTGTTTTTATAGCTGTCTCCTGAGCAGTTTATTTTTCTTGAATTGGTCCCTTGTCCAGAAAGTGTACTCAACACTATTTTCAGCACAACTGTATTATAAGAGGAAACCAAATCTTAAAGGGAAGGAATGTGTCTCACCGAGCTATGCTGCAGGTAATGCAGAAGGACTTGAGGTACCAGTGACCTTTCTGCTAATGCTCCAAAAGCTATCCTAAGGACCTATCCACCAGATCTTCCACATTGCTGTTAGATTTGACTGCTTGTCAAGTCAGTCGTTATGGACTTGTAGAAAACAAAAGGTACTCTAGTGCTTTTGAAAAATGATCAAAAGAAAATGACTTATTCTGCCACTCTCACTTGTGCATGTGTATACCTTGGAATTCAGACACATCTTTGGCTGTGTGGCTCTCTGACACCCAGAGTCACATGCAGGTGACCCAGAGAAAAGGTAACCCCACTGTATCCACCTCCAGACAGCCTGGTCCTGATCCTGAGATTTCCTCTAAACAGACAATAAGCTTAAAAGAGCTAACTAAGGCAATAATGAGTGAAATAGGAGAATTTGCCTTGGATGTATGCTTTCATTCATTTATTGCAATACTTACATAGCACTGGGGCGGGGGGGGGTCTCCTTTTTACTCAACCTGATGACTGATGAAAATGATTGCCCCATTCTAGTTTAAATTAAATGGGGTTGAGGTCTTAGAGTGACAGCAAAGTGACGGTTGCCCTTTCAGACCCTGGTTTTTAAGTGCTTCGCTGGTTTTCAGAGATGTCAGGGAGAGAACTAAGAAAGGGGGGCCTTTTTACCATAATAATGTCAGGCCTTTAGGGGAAAAGCACATGTCAAATCAAGCCTGAAAGGAGCAGAGTTGTGCCCTCACCGTACCACAAGCTCTGTACGTACAAGGTGCCCTTGGTGACTGCTTCCCTGGAGCAGCCTCTCTGGAACAGTATGGCACGGGTGGGCTCCAGCACTCAAAGGGCATCTGGCCGGTCCTAAGGCAGGGCGTCTGATGCGTCTCTGAGCCTTCACCATCTAGCAATACTTGACAAATCATTCAGAGCCTTGTCAATGCCACTTATAAAATATCTCTCCATTTCCAATGCTCAGGCTTGGACACAGAGAACACACTCAGCACGGCTGTGACCTGACCCTTATCATCAGGAGCTCGAGCCTGTGCTTCAGGACCACAGAATCGAGGCATTGTAGAGCCGGGAGGAATTTTAGCACCCTTTGATCTAAAGAAGAGTTTATAGATGAGAAAACAAGGCGTAGAATAAAATGACTTTCTCAAGGGTGCTAGCATTGGAAGAACCAGTTTCAGAATTTGCTGTCTTCATTCTCAGCTTGTCCTGGGTTCCCTGACCTCCTGTGTCCAGAGATGGAAACTGTCCTGGTCAGGGAGAAGTCTTTCAGGAGAAGATCAGATTCTTGACTCATTGCCACCACTGCTCTGCCACCTTGTGATACCACAAGCCACATCTAAACTATTGGAGAAAAAGTTCATTGGCTACAAACCACACATATGAGGAAACCTCTTTGGGAAAAACTTATAGCCAGCAGTCCCTCAGATAAAATACTTCTCTCTAGAACATAGGAAGAATTTAAAAAATGAGGCCTCCAAAATTCAAGGCCTAATCCAAAAATGGGCACCTGAGATGAAAATACTCTTCACAAATAAAGAAATACAAATGGCCAAAAAAATATGAAAAATGTTCAACATCATTGGTCGTTCAAGAGATGCAAATTAAAACAACATTGAGACTCCATTCCAGAAAGAGTGGCTGTCATCAAGAAGTCAACCAATAATAATTGCTGGAGAGGCTGTGGGGAGAAAGGGACCCTTCTCCACTGTTGGTACAACCACTATGGAAATCAGTGTGGAGATTCCTCAAAAACAACAGCATTGGAGGTCCCATGCAACCCAGCTAGTCCCCTCCTGGGTATTCTTCCAGGAGAACTGAAAGCACACCACAGTGATCTATGTGCACCCATGTTTATAGCAGCACAGTTTGTCATAACTAAATCTTGGAAACAACCCAAATGCCCATCAACTGAGGAATACATGAAAGAGATGAGGTACGTTTACACAATGGGGTATTACTCAGGTATTAAAAAAAGATAAATTTGAGACTTTTATAGGTAAATACACCTAGAGATTGGTAAGTGAAATAAATTAGGCTCACATGTGCAAACATTGTATTATCTTGCTAGTGTAAGAACCTGAAAAAGTAAATAAAATCTGAAAGGTATAATAGGTACTGTGAGAGAGAAAGAAATTGTTCAGTGTGAAGAAAAAACTGGGATGAGAAAAAAAAAGAAAGAAGGGGAAAGATACATTCATGTATATATGCAGGATTTCTGCTGGTGCATTAAAAGGAGCAGTGAGTACTTAAATTTATTTTTTAGTTTTTCTTCTTTTTAATTTGTTATAACTATTTTAACCAATTTACCAGGTTTATATCTGCTAATCTAAATAACTAATTTGAAGATAATACTATGCAATACAACAACCATTGTTGAATTCCTGCTACTTTGTTTAATGAAATTTTCTACCATTTCTAATAAGTTTTTTTTTTTTTTGCCATTTTGTACTCTTTAAAAAATGGAAAGAAGGAAAGAGAAAGAAGAAAAAGAAAGAAAGAAAGAAAGAAAGAAAGAAAGAAAGAGAGAAAGAGAAAAAAGAAAGAAAGAAAGAAAGAAAGGCAAAGCAAGCTATGCAAAATGTCTTGGTTACTTT